TTTCAAGTGACGAAGGAAGAATTCTTAGACATAAATATTAGATACAAACAAAAAGCGCTCAAAAAATAGAAAGAGTTTTGTTTGAATAAGGATGGTACTGGTTCAAGAAAGAGCAGTTGAAAATAAAGCTCCATCAAATGCATCGTAGCTCTGCGATGCTTGTGTTTACAGCTAAGGGATGAAACATGAGACTGCTCTCCAATACACGTCCTCGGTACATATGATATTTAGATGCACTATCTTTGATCGTAATATCTCAAATTATTCTTTGATATTTTAACTTACTTTAACTTTTCGTAATAATTTATCTTGATATTTTAACGTTGGTGACATGTAGCTGCTCAAGCTTTCAACTAGTATTTTAACTTATTCTGGGCAGTTGTAGCGAAATAAATATCAAAAATACCAAGGACACCCGAACAATCAGGGTATTACTGAGCTGCTTCCATACGGCGCACATAGATGCGCTAAGCTTTTTAGTCCAAATTTTATCACTAGATTCTAAGCCCTTTATTTGTAATCCTTTATTGTAATCCTAAGTCAAATTTAATCATGCGCTAAATCACGTGCAATTTAGTATCCACCTCTTTCCGATGCTTGTGTGCCACTTCCTTGATAGCCTCATCTCCCTCCTCTCTCCCCCAATGGTCATTCATTTTCCAGTGAATACTACTCACTAACGAGAAACATAACCACCATGTCACTTCTGTTGGATTTGCTTCCTAGATCGATTGCAGTGATATCCCACAAGTCTCTCACCTAACAGAGACAAACCAAGCATTCTTTTCTCCACTGCTCTCTCGATCACAGCCAGCGTTCGCTCTTTTACTGATACTAGTGATACATTGCGATTTTTCGAATTCTACTGATTTATGTTGATTTTCATACATTTCAGATATCAGAAAACAACAGAAGTGGTTGCTGGGACCGCAGATACGGTGAAGAAAGGATGGAATGATATGCGTAATTCATCGCTGTTCAAATCATTTGAATCGAAACTCGGCACCGCATATACACAGGTGAAAGCACTTCCTTCATTCTGCTTAGCTGTTGTTTGATGTAAAAAAGTTTTTGAGGTTTTTAAGATTTTTTTCTGGTAGAAGATCGAAATTTATCAGTGAACAGATAGTATCTAACTAGTCGTTTTAGGGGGGAGATAAAAACTTATCACGATCTTGAACTAGAGTAACTTATCGTGACCCTGAACTAAGGATATCTGTAGGATATCTCGAAATTTCTGTACAAGGGTATATTAACAAGGAATAAAATAAACAGAAGAATCAAAAAGGAAGGC